TGTCGGGACAGGGTGCCCAGAGCCCAGCCGGAGCGTCTCCACTGCCGCGGGTAAAACCCCGGGCTACAGGACGGCGGCTACTTGGAAGTTTTGATGCATATGATCACAACCACCATGATTTTTATGATTCTTGGTGCATCCGTTGTAATGGTAAGACATCTTCACCTCCCTCAGCCACAATATCATTTTCTAATTTACTCACCAAGGCTAATATTTAATCAGATGGTTTCAAATGCTTAGTTAATGTAGGCTGTGACATTTTTGCGAGGAGCTATCTAACAGCAGGGCCATCAATGACCTGTGGAAGTAGGTTAGCCTACCTATAATTACCTGCTGTCATAAATAAATAATCTCAGTCCATTTGGAGGCATGAGTCCCCCCCTTCTTAGAATCGGGAGGTTGTGCCAAGGCTATTTTCTGTTGTTCTTTTTTTAATGGTCCTCATTGTTGCAGCTAATTTATCCTCATAATAATGAAACGAATCATTCGCTGTCTGTAGAAATAGCCGAGCCCATTGCTTGATATGTCCCAGCTGACTGGCATGGTTTTTTGCAGGCGATAGCCTGTTTAATGGACATGAACGCACTACTGGATCGCTTTCACAACTACATCTTACCGCATCTACGAGGGGAGGACCGCGTCTGTCACTGCAACTGTGGAAGGTAAATGACATCATCCTCGAACAATATTTAGGGAAAAACATGGTGGTGTGTGCTTTTTTTTACCCTTTAATTCTTAATTGCTAAGGAGGCCTCGAAGATTTGTGGCGGTGAAGCCCTGCAAAGCCAACCTCCTTTCACCCCGACGGTGCTTTTACATAGCGACTGCTGTTTACATAAAGGTTTTATTATTTGCTCCAACAGAAAGGCCGATGATACGTTTGGTCGCGTTGTGTTTTTTACATTTTGTCTGCGAGGATTTTTGGCTTTGCTGCATATAGCCTACGAAGGTGTCGGAGACATAAATAGGTAATGAACTATGGGCAATATAAGACTGTTCAAAAACAACCTGAGCATCAAGTGTGCGATTCACGCAGGCCTACACAGGTGTCGATGAGATTATAACCCTGCTGTGCCAATTATGAACATGTGAGTGCTGAAGTGAAGTGGTTATGGCTTAAGAAGTGTTGGGGGTACTGGCTACTGTGAGCAGGTTTGAAGTGGGGAAAACGGCAACAGCGCACTCGGTAATATATTCATTCGGATTTAAAATGCATTATTATGCATTTTACATCAGTAAATCATGTAACACAGTGGGCTGTGTGGATGAGTAGATACACAAACGGGCCTCTTCTATTGGTCATAAGTCACTACAGTGTCCGAAGGTTTGGCAACAGTGTTGGAACAAGATTTAATTAAAGTAATGATTCATAAACCATTAGACTGATATCTATATTATGCACAGATGTGTGGTTTAGAAAGGGAAATGTCAATCTTCATTTTGGTGCAAGCTCAACAGATGCAAAATAAAACTAAAACAGCAGTCTATAGTGTGCATACTGCAGTGTGTGGGCTGATGTACTAGCAGTTCATTAACAGCATTAATAGGCCAATTCTGCTGGGTTGCTCTTAGCCTGTAAATCCAGAAATGGGTCATCATCAGGTGCTTGTCAGAGAGAAATAATCTGAGTGAAAGTTTGGAAAGGCCTCTTGCACACATTGATGTATGTGATGTGCTATACAGAAGATGAATCAAGACAAGAGCAGCACGTTTGGAGATAGGGTTTATGATGGGACGAGGTTTCACTAAGTGTTATTTTGAATACAAACGGAATTTTGAAAAAATATATATATACCTCTGCTGTGACCACAGTGTCTTTCACTGACCTGAAAACACTCCTGAATGAGAGTCGGTCTGTTTTGTTTTCATAAGCAGCAGAAATGTAGGATATGTGGATGAACAGAACAGAGCTTGGGCTTCACTCGCCTACCCTTCCATCAGTGAGGCATGGAGGTGTCGTGACGCTCACAGCGCTCACCTTATCAGGCTTGAGGACACAGCCAGTGTCATTGTGTTTGGCAGCCTCTGTGCTCTGATTTGGATGTAGCTGTAGCTTCTCTGACGGTCCAAAAGCCTGACCTACTGTACAATAGCTGCTTCTGTGACATGAAAGAAATACAATTGGACAGTGTGGGTTGCTGTGTGCACCCTTATTAGTGTCATGGCTGCTGGATAATTATTCTAAGGTGATCTAAATGCTCTTTTCTACTCTATAATTCTGGCTGAATACTTTTCACCACTACACTAAAGAAGAAGACTTAGGTTTGCTGGGTGCAGGCGAACAAGAAGTCACTTTAAAGGTGTACAAGCAGCATTAAATAACTGTTTATTTTATTTACAGGTTTATGGACAAAAGCCTTGCTCAGGGAAAAGAGAGATTTAGGTTATCTTTACAGGTAGCTTGGTTTTTTTCTTCTTCTCCTCCTTTTTATTGAGAAAATTCTTCAGGGTTAATGGAACTCAGTAGTTGCATTGCTCAGATCAGTGAGGTCCGGCAGTGGGGTTTGAGCCCCCTTGTGACCCTCGCTTCTTTTAGTAATCTGCAAGATCTGTATTTTTCTCTCCACATTTAGTGCAAAGTGCTGTTCTGTGTTGCACTTCAGAGATCATCTGTCAGTCAAAGTGTGGGTGGATTTTCTGTTAATGAAGCTGCATTTCTGTAGGTGGAGATTTTGTCTTTGTCTGTTGCTGCTCATAGTTCTGACTTCTTAGCCAATTTATTCCAAACAAGCCAGAAACATTAGCACAGCTTCCAGTACATCATAGCAGTTTGCCAGTAAAGACCTGTTGGAGTAAATACTGGGTGTTAAGGATAGCCGTTTTCATCAGTTAGGTGTTGCATCAGTCAGAGATAGATATAAGTAAGAAAGGCATTTGTTTAAATATGTAGAAAACCTGTGTTATAAACTAGGGCTGCAGTGTCAGAGATGTGGGTATTCACGAGGCAGGGAGTCTAACGAAAGACACAGTCATGTTGTATGCAGTGTTTTTGGAGCTTGGCCCTAAAGATTACAGATTACTAAAGATTAAAATGCCAGAATTTCTCAGCCTCTTGTATTTTGACTGTACTTTTTAACACCTACACTAGTCCAAACCTGTTAACAGTGTCATGTGTGAGTATATCAGTACTTACTTCCAGTGGTTAAATCTGTCGTCTCTCACTGTGTTCCTTCGCAGTGTTTGTCAGACTGTCTGCATTGCTAGACTGTGAAAAGCCTTCATCCCCTCTCAGGAGGGCAGATAATAAGAGTTTAGTAATACTTTTATATCAAGTGGATGTATCGGTTTTACAGTGGAGTTTAGTCAGTGCTGGACAATGTGGAAAAATCAGTGTAAGGATATAGATACAGTGGGTACGGAAAGTATTCAGACCCCCTTAAATTTTTCACTCTGTTATATTGCAGCCATATGCTAAAATCATTTAAGTTCATTTTTTTTCCTCATTAATGTACACACAGCACCCCATATTGACAGAAAAACACAGAATTTTTGACATTTTTGCAGATTTATTAAAAAAGAAAAACTGAAATATCACATGGTCATAAGTATTCAGACCCTTTGCTCAGTATTTAGTAGAAGC